TTCAAAAAATAGAAACCAAAACAACCATTTACACAAACATTAAAGAATAATTTTGTCATTATGTTAAATAAAAATATGAGTTAAAATTCTAAATTAATGACATTTTTCTCTTAAATTTTTGGACAAGAATTCTAATAGATTGTCATTGTCATATTACCATCAATATAACAGCAAGAAAACCTTTGCGTGGAGCTTGAACCAGGAAGAAAAAAATGAAGTAATGTGAATGAATTGTATTGATCTTGAATAACACAATTACATATTGTTTATATACAAATAAGAATAACAAACTAACCGATCTAACTGACTTCTTAGTTAACATTATTAAGCTACTACCATACCCATTTCAAGCTGGAGCTGCGTCAATAAGACCCAACTTGCTGATAAACGATTTATAAGCCGAAGATCGTAAAGTCTTAGTGAAGATGTCAGCTAGCTGATGAGAGGAATGAACATGAAGAAGCTTCAAAAGACCAGAGGTAACCTTTTGTTGAACAAAATGACAGTCTACTTCAATGTGCTTGGTACGTTCATGAAAAACCTGGTTGATAGTCAAGTGTATGGCAGCCTGGTTACCACAATACAAGGATGCAGTCTCGACTGGAATGTTGAATGATGAAAGCAAAGCAGCCAGCCAAATTAACTCACATGTCGTATACGCCATAGCACGATACTCTGCCTCACAAGATGGCTCGCTGATAGCAACTTGTTTATTTGCTTTCCATGAAATAAGGTCGTCACCAAAGAATATGTAATAACCATAAGTGGACCTTCTGGTATCTGGACAAGAACCATAATCGGAATCCACAAAACCATGTAGTTGCATGTTGGATTTTTATGAAAAGAAAAGACCAAGACCAGGAGGCTACTTGATGTAAGCTAACAGATGTTTCAACGCCTACATATGAGGAACACGAGGGGAAGAAACAAACTGACTCAACACATGAACCGTGTGAGCAATATCTGGTCTAGTATGCGTAAGATACAACAAACGACCCACCAATCTTCTATAGAGCCGAGGATCAGGCACAAGTTGTCCATCAGTGGCATTTAGCTTTACAGTAGACACCATAAGACATTTCACAAGTTTCTTTCCAAGACAACTTGTATCCGTTAATAACTCAAAAGCAAACTTTCATTGAGATAACAAAATTCCAGAATTACCATGAGCAATTTCAAAACCAAGGAAATAACGTAGAGGACCCAAAACCTTTAGTTTGAAATACCGTTAAAGATGACATCGAACCTCATCCAAAATAACCATATTCTTTCCAGCTAACACAATGTCATCCACATAGACCAAAAGAGACATAAAATGATCACCCTAACCTTTTGTAAATAGAGAATGTTCAACAAGAGACTGAGTGAAACTAAGTTGAAGGACAACCATGGAAAAAGCAGTGAACCATTGTATGGATGTATGTTTGAGTCCGTATATTGATTTGTTAAGTTTACAAACCAAATTCGATTTAGAAGAAGATTTGTAACCAAAACGTAACTTCATATAGACTTCTTCTTGAAGAACGTCATTAAAAAAGTGTTGTTTATGAAACACCCCAAATTCTAAGCTAGTAGTTTGGATTTTCCCGAGAGACATGTGAGCATCGTAGATTTTATAATTTAAGCCGTTGGCCTTAATTGGGTTGGAATTTGGCCTCATTAGCTATAGAAAGGAGATTTTTGAAAGGTGAAAAGATGAGAAGAGACCAAAAGCATAATTTCTATCTTTTTAGAAAGATAGAGACTTTTTATCTCTTCATCTTCATATTCTCTTCATTCTATTTTCTTTCACATTTTCCATCTCTTTCCTCTCCAAGCTCCCTAAATCAAAGGTAAGTCATTTGAGCTATTTCTTACCTTTTTTAAGTTTTATTTTCGTCCTCAATCTCTCCAGAAACATCATTTTATGATTCAAAGCTTGGTATTTTCTTGTTGGCTAGAGAAGGAGTGAGAAATCAACCAAGTCATAGAGGAAGAGCGCGTGGCTAAGAAATGAGCTTCATTTCAGGATTCAAACATCAAGGTATTGTATTTCTAATTCTTTAGAGTGTTAAGGCTTTCATAAATATGGTGAATTGCTAAGATTTGTGTAGTTGAGCATTTTAGGGTTCAAACTTGATTCATGTCATAGATGGTGTTTTAGATGTAAAGAATATGTTTTTATGACACTTTAAGACCCTAAATAACTCTATACAACTTTAAGACATGATTAAAAAAACAAATTGCGGCCTTTAGAGTGATTTTAGGTGTTTTCCCAAGCCTAAATAAACCATTTCTAGGTTCGAGTATCGATATTAGATGAATTGGGGCGAAATCTAGGGATTTCAAGCAGGGAGTATCGATAATGCTAGGAGACTATTGATACTACCCCTTTAGTCTCGAGACTTGGTACCGAGACCATGCCTAAATTTCAGTAGCAAAATGTATTTTTGGTACCGATACTCATAGGAGAAACGATACTTGAACCCTAGGGTATCGATACTACCAATCTTGGATGATCAGTTTCGACCCGATTAAGGTTCATAAGAGTTAAGGATGATTCATAATGGTAGAATGTAGTTCGTATGGGATGTAAATGACCAAAGGGGCCAAAAGACAGTCGTAGGAGTGAGATACAACCAGAGTAACCATAGGAGGTGTAACGTGTCCAAGTATCTTTAGTTGAACACATAGCGGATATCTAAGAGTGAGGGATCATTGTAGAGGGTGTACCGAAAAAAGGTATAACCAAATAGTCAGATTATAAAACAACAGAATCAGATACTGCAAGAATGGCAGAGAGTGATAGACGTACAATCGTCCCTCCAATTCAAGAGTGAATTGAAGGAAAGCATAGTAAAAACAAATAGAGTGTCACTACCTACTAATGAACCCAAGTCAGGTATCAGGCTAACTAGTGTCACATCCAATAAATAGCAAATACAATAATCGTCATGAATTCACAAAACGTAGAGACTTCTCTAGAGATAGAAAATGACTAAAATACCTTTAAATAGCGAACAACCAGATTATAATAGACTATCAGTAGTATTAGACTAATAAACCTTCGTATAACATTTTAGATGAAATAACGAGTGAGACAATTGCTAGGGAGAACAGTAAACAAGATCAATAACAACTTAAATCTTTAAAGAGATCAGTATCATAAAACTAGCCTTTGTGTGACACTCGGAAAAAAGTCAAGACACCTCCAGTTACTTTAGCAGTATGACGATTGTCTTGTTTGTTAGTTTGTCCAGGTATATACCAGTCAGTGCCAAGGCACTTCAGATGCCCCAAGACTCCATTTTTTATGCAGCTTCGGATCTCACCCCAAATACCCAAGGGTATCTTAGGTAGGCTAGAGGGGTTTGTAAGCTCCGAGATGCAGAACCCTCAGCCGTACCATGATACCTACCTCAACTTGTGTGTTTTTTATTGTGTGTTGCATAGTAGTATTAGTGTTGCATTTAGATAGTGCACATGAGTGTCAGTATCGCATTTAGATAATACGCAATAGTTATAGTCATTAGGGTTAGAGTCCTTTAGAGGTGTGCTATGGCGAAGCCCTTAACAGGTAGAACATCCTTTTAACAAATGTAAAATACTACTACTAGGATTACCAAGCTTTTCATGCCAAGAAACAAAAGAACTGTTACTAAAATCTTTACAAGAACCATAATTGTTGTCAACTAAATTTTCAGCAAATGGCATCTATAGTAGATATAAGCCTTGAAGCAACTTACCCTTCACAATCACTTGACATAAGTCCTAAATCAAACATTTTGATTTACAAAACAACACATTCAGATTAGCATCATTCGTCAAACATCCAACTGACAGCAGATTAAACCTGAACTTAAGAACATACAACACATCTCGCAGAATAAGTTTTGAAGACAACTGAACATTAGCAGCAAAAGTAAATAAAATAACAGATTTTTCTGGTAGAACGATGTTACTAACAGTAATAAGATACAAAGAATCAAATAAACCTTTTGAGAAACAAACGTGTCTGGAAGCACCCTAATCAAGAATCCAGCACTTCGATAAGGGAAAAGTTATTGATGTGCGATAAAATCTCTCCTTACATGGAGGCATTAACGGAATTTGACAAATTCTCTGAAGTTGATGCTGCTGCTGAGAAGTAAGCATTACAATCAGTTGATGACACTTCTGAGGAGTCAATGCTTCATTAACAGACTGAGAAGGAGATCCCTGTGAGGAAACACCACTCGATGACTGAGAAATGGTTACCGAATTTGTATGAACTGATTGAGAGTTCTTGGAGTTCCAAGACCAATTCTTGGAAGAGTAACCCAGAGGATATCAATGTAATTCGTAAAACATGTCCTTTGTGTGCCCAAGAACGTTACAATGGCTGCACTGAATCTATTCTTGCGATTGTCATGGCTGGTTTTGACAGCAAAAGAAGTTTCAGCAACAAGATTAGCCATTTTAACGCTACGCTGATTTTCTTCTTGAATAAGCAAGGAAAAAACCTTAACTATCAAGGGCAAAGGATCCATCAAAAGAATTTGACCTTTGATGTGAGCATAAGGTTCATTCAATCCCATCAAAAATTGTATAGCCTTTTCTTGTTTTTTCTCATCCATTATTCATTTTACTACTCCACAATTGCAACCTATACAGGTACACACCTGCTTAGTGGAGAAGAGCTCATCCCAAAGAATCTTGAGTTGAGTATAATAGGCGCTTATGTTCATATGGCCTTGCACCAAGTCATTCAACTTTTTCTTCAACTAAAACACTCGAGGTCCATTTGATTGCTGAAAATGATCACACAGATCTCGATAAATATCAGCTGTAGTAGAATGATACAAGAGACTCGTAGCTATATCCTTGGAGACAGAATTCAAGATCCAAGAATACACAAGATTATTAGCTCTCGTCCATGCATTAGACTCTATCAAGGATGAATCAGGTGCAGGAATGAAACCATCAACAAAGCCGAGTTTGTTTCTGGCAAACAACGCAAGCATCATGGAGCGTTTCCAACTATGAAAATTGTCGTTGGAAAGTGGTTGCGTGACAAGAATCGTGGGTTATCCGATTGATGCAAATAGGACGAATTACCCCCATTGTCGTGGCGATCATTCAAAGAATCATGCATGACAAAGTTGGAAGTTGAACAAAAAATCTTCTGATACCATATAACAGCAAGAAAACCCTTGCGTGGAGCTTGAACCAAGAAGAAAAGGTGAAGTAATGTGAATGAATTGTACTGATCTTGAATAACAAACTAACCGATTTAACTAACTGACATATTAGTTAACATTATTAAACTAGTGCTATAATCAACCTTCTTTATTTCACCTTTTTTTCTTTTAGCCACTTAAGTAACAACGATTCTTTTAACTATTTAAGTAAGTTGATTCATACATAAAAAAATAAAATTAATGTAATAGATGGGTTTATTTGCTCGAAAATAACAATCTTTTGAAATTTTAAATACTATATAACTAATTATTTATTATGAACTAAATAATAAATCTAAAGAAGAAGAAAAAAAGATAAAAGGAGAAGTCGAGGTCTCACGTGTGATAGGTTCGGATGATAGTGCGATGTAAATAAGTCAAACAAGAGGCGGCTGCTCCACCTGAACGAGATAACACCTCCTCTCATTATTTACTTCGATTCCTTCTCCCGGTTGGCTATACATTTCGCAAGTTATCACAAATTCCTAATAACACCCTACAGTATCTTCATTTTTATAAAATTATTTTATTTTTCACTACTAAATAAAAAATTATTCCCTTATATTTTTTTATGCAGAGAAACTTTTATTTTTATTGTTGAATTATCAATGATTAAACTCTCACAGTCGCATTAATAATTTTACATATTCTATCGAATGGTCACATAGATTTAGATATAAATAAATTTTAAATTATAATATATTATCATTCTAACTTTGGTATTAATATTAAGAGTTTGTATATAAATCACCGCATAAAGTTAAAAAAAAGACCTTTTTTTTACTCTCTTCTCTCAGACAACTGTTCATCATCTTTTTCAGATTCTTTATTCTCCTATTAACATCTATAGAGTAATTGCCTACGACTCTTCATCCAAACTAGGAGTGAACTACTATAGACCATAACATCTCCATTTCTCATACCAATAATATTGAATAATGTTTTTAAATTAAATCTTTATAATTTAAGGATAATTACAATAGAAATAAATTTAAAATACTCTGTATATATTATATCTAAATTATTTATAATTTAATTTTTTTAAAATAAAATATAATTATATTAAAATAAATTCAAACATATAATTTTCAAAACTTATAAGAAAAGGCTTAACATACAATTAATCTTTATACATATAAAGGTAAGATTAAGTTAATAATTAATCATTATATATATATATATATATATATATATCGATAGAAGCCGCTAGTTTTATTAAAAAAACATTTAGAATTATTATTAAAGTTTACAATTATAATTATAAATTAAATACATAATTAGGATATTTTTTATAATTATTGATACAAGAAATTAGTCACTTGAGATTATACAAGGACTATACAAGAAAAAGCTTAAAAATTAAATAAAAAAACTCGAACAAAAGATATATACGAACATATAAATGTCGACTAACGTAAAAAAACTATTAAAAAACGTAAACTGCATATCATAATCTTATCTATGGGTCCAAAATAGGGAAATCAACAAAATAACAAATAAGCGACATTGACATAAAATCCAATCTTGCAAAAAATATTAATAAAATAACAATCAAACGACCAATAACGTACCAAAGGTAGAGAAATATATACCATAAAAATAAAATTAATAAAAAAAAATAAAAGAAAAGCAAGGATGTGATCTGATATAAAAAATAAAAATAATAATAATTACAGATAATTAATAAAAACATTAAGATTGATATTACCACCTGTTTATCAAAGGAAGCGACTGAATAAATAGGAATAAATCTCACGTATGATGTTATTTAAACTTAAACCCTAATAAATGTTTGAATTAATTAAAAGATACATAAATATATGTGTAAAAAGTAGCAAGATAATCAAACTTTACTGTCTATTGATTTAAAATAAGGAATAATGCTTATTTAAATGAAAAGTAATTAATATTGCAAAAATGAAAAGAATGAGAGATTTATGAAATTATTACTTTTTTTAATTAATCTGAGACTTCATTTGTACTATTGCATGTTTATCATTTTCAAAGCTTGTCTTCCTTTTCAAAGGGACAATAATGCACGCACGAATGGACCCGAAACAGAGGATTATTTAAAACTCATTTCCTTTTTAAAATGAAGAGAACTTTGGTCTAAAGTCAGGCAGTTTGACCAGGCAGCCTCTGTAATATGGAAGCATTAGTCGACAGTTGACAAAACACCGTTTGAATTTCTCTTATCATCAGCTCAGCCCCCAGTGGATTCATCTCACCTTTGTTTGCTTTTAATTCCTTCATTTATTTCTTGTCCCCATTACTAATAATATCATTTTTCTATATATATCCGTGTCTCCACGTTCTAACATTTCAGCTCTATTATATCATCAGCGTTATTCAGAAAGCTCTGCAATTTGCACTCCGTAGTTTTTTCTATTAAGAAACTATCGCTTTGGAAGTTTACTCTTCTTCTACTGCTGCTTCTGTTTCGGGTTTGGAAGAAGCAAGAGGGTTGAAGGCACCTCAGGCTGGATCACTCCATTCCGTGCGTAAGCCATTGTCAAAGCCCTGGAAGAAGCCAATTGCACCATTTCCTCCAACTCCACCTAAGGTCTACACGGTCGACTCTTTAAACTTCCGGGACTTGGTTCAAAGGCTAACCGGTTCACCTGAGTTCATGTCCCCATCTCATAACCCAACGTCCACAACTCAGTTTGAGGTGCCTCATCATCAGCGTCTCCAAAGAGTGGCACCTCCCCCTCTTCACGTTGCAGCACCGCCGTTGTCCAGAGCTGAAGTTTCTGCACCATTGAATATGTTCTCGGGATTAGATCACAGCAACCACAATTACTCCAATAGTTCGATGAACACCTTTACATCAAATTCACTCGGTCTTGGATTAAACTTGTCGCCATCTTCTTATAATTGGTTCACTTTCCCCATTCTCAGTCCCGGTACACTGGCCAGCTTGGAACAAAGCACTGTTCCTTAGATTATATACATGAAGCTAGCTAGCATAAACACTTGATTACTTTATTATATATATATATATATATATATATGCTGATAGTTTAATTCATGCTTAAAGAGAATGCTGAATGCCTGTAAGATTAGAACTACATTGTCTTGTTATTGTGGTTTACGTATATGTCGTAGAAAAAGTCATCATCTCTTGATCGTGATAAATAAAGCTATATACTTGCTTATATTGCCTTCAAAAACAGTCTCCCAAGAATATAGTTTATCGCATCTTGTCTTTGATGGTGTGCTACTTCGTTAATCAGTTTGCTAACGTTGTTAACACCAAATATATTGTGAACATCGAAGAATTTCTGGGGTCATTCGGGTGGGAAATTATATGGTGTAAAAGTGCAATCCTGCATGCATTTTCTCCTCAACAACGTGCAGGCTGCACATGGGAAATATGGTGCAAAATGCAACATTTTCTATTTTTATGTTGACAATCCATCTAACTGCTGTTAATGACTATAAATAGATATAAAATTTATTAATTTTACAGTGTAAGTGAAGGAAGCTGATAAGATGCATATTAGACATATATTCTATGATATTTTCCTCATATTTGAATAATTAAAATTGCTTAAATCACGGATTTTGATTATATTTCATATTTTGTGGATTAGGTTGAAGATTTGGATAAAACAAGTTCAAAATCTAATGGTTAGCATGATCTTCACAAAATCCCCAAATTAAGGAAGAAAAATCGGAATTCAAGAAGTTGGCAAGACCAGAAGAGGTTTTCGCATAAGGTGTGGGCACGGCTTATTCATCTTGAGCTATCGCAGAAGAAGTCTTCGGTTAAGGCGTGGGCGCGCCTTACCAGTCCGTACAACCCTAAATTAGGGTTACAAATTTACAAGGAAAAAAGAGTTTAATGACGACTGGAAGACTCTTTTGAATTATTCTTATCTTTAGAAAATGATGAGGGCATTTAAAACTCCTATTTTTGTGGGATTTTCTTTAAGTGAAACTTCCTTATCTAGAGTAGACAAATCCTTATAAAAGGGGAGCTAGGGCATTAAGTTTGACATCAAGTTTTCATTATTTTCTTTTGGTTTTCTTTCAATTATGAGTGGCTAAATACTTTTGTTCCAACTGAAGGATAATTGAAGTTTTGGTTCTTTAAGGATTGTGAGATATAAATAATTTTCATTGTTCTTTTACTTCTTTGCTATTTATATATCTTCTGTTTTTATTAAGAATTATTGTCTTGATTGATTGCGCAAAGGATCCGTTGTTCATTTATCAGGTTGATAAATTGTCATTTAGAACTTTAAATCTGTAATTGTTTAAATGTTCTAATATTAGTGGTAAAGTAACATGGTTGATTATGTTACGAAGGTATGTAACCTAGTCTAAATGAATCGAGCTTGTGTATTCGTTGGGTAGAATTGGTGGTCCCTCTAGTGATTAATGTTGTTGGTGGATTAAATCTTAAGAGCTTGTCTAGGGTTGTTCATTAACTAGGGAAATAATCAAAGAGCTTCTCTTGATTATCGAGAAACTAAGGAGAGACAGGTTGTTAGAGCTTCTCAATAACCATAGCTAATTTAGCGAAAAGTAAAAGATTTTATCATTGCATCTATGATCAATTCTCTGAACCAATCCTGAAATTATACCTTTAGTTTAATATTTGCTTGATATTGATTTCTCTAAATTCTTAGTTGATTATAATTTCTTTTCTTCTTTTTCTCAATTTCAAAACCCCCTTTATTTGCTTTAATTTTCATTAAAATAAGTCTACCCAATCCCTGTGGATTCGACCTTGCTTATCACTACTACAATTTATATTTCTCAAAACAAGTATTATTATTTGTTGGATTCGACACCCATCAAAGTTTTGGCGCCGTTGCCGGGGATTGGTGTCATTTAGACGTATTTTGATGCTCCGTTCTTCTTGTGCAAGTGAACTCCAATACGATCCTGAAATCGAGAAAACCGCTCGCAGGTTAAGAAAAGAAACTAACTTGCACAACAAACAAGCTTCTTATTCTTCATCCACTGAATCAGAATCTGCACTCAACTTGGTTGATTCATCCAACAATTTTGAAATAGAAGGAACAATGGCCAATGAAGAAAGAACTCTAAGAGAATTGGATGCACCAAATGAGAATCAACAACCGCTCTGCATTAACTACCCAGCTTTAGAGGTAGCTTTTGAATTAAAATTTGGTTTGATTCAAATGTTGCCTACTTTTCATGGACTTGATAATGAAGATCCTCGTAAGCATTTGAAGGAATTACATGTGGTATGTTCAAGTATGAGACCATAAGGAGTGACTGAAGAATAGATCAAATTACGTGTTTTTCCATTCTCGCTAACCAATAGAGCTAAAGATTGGCTCTTCTATTTACCCTCTGGTTCTGTAACTACTTGGGCCGAGATGGTGAGGATGATTCTTGATAAAGTTTTCCCTGCTTCAAGAGCCGCTGGCATTCGAAGGGAGATATGTGGAATAAAACAAAAAGATACTGAGACCCTTCATGAGTATTGGGAACGATTCAAACGACTGTGTGCCAGTTGCCCTCAATATGGGATTTCTAAGCAACTTCTCATCCAATATTTTTATGAGGGACTTCTATCCATGGAAAGGAAGATAATGAATGCAGCTAGTGGAGGTGCCATAGTGAATAAGACTCCTCGCGATGCTAGGGAATTGATCTTCATCATGGCCGCTAATTCATAACAATTTGGCTTTAGGCAAGACACATCTTCAAGAAGGGTGAATGAGGTAAGTTCGTCCTCCATTGGACATCAATTATTGCATCTCACCTCCCTTGTTCAACAACTAGTAGTAGGAAAAACGCAGCAAGTAAAAGCTTGTGGGATATGTGCTGCGATCGGTCACCCAACTGACAAGTGCCTTACATTTCAAGATGATTCTCATGAGTATTCCAATGCACTTGGAAGGTTTCCTGATCAGCCACAAAGGAAGTATGATCCTTACTCAAATACCTATAACCCATGATGGAGGGATCATCCTAACCTTAGCTATGGACCAAGACCATCGCAGTTCCAACGTTTTCCACCTGAGTAGTCTTCTTCAAAGCCAAGTATGTCTCTAGAAGAAATTGTCAAATCACTTACAACTAATACACAACAATTTCAGCAAGAGACAAGAACAAGCATACAAACTTTGGAGAATCAAGTGAGTGAATTGGCATCCTTCATGAGTCGGTTAGAATCCCAAGGTAAGTTACCTTCACAAACCATTGTTAATCTAAAGCAAAATGCTAGTGCAATCACATTGAGAAGTGAGAAGGAGTTGAAGGAACCTAGTCCATTGGCACATGGGAGAGCCTTAGAGGAAGAAACTGAAAAGGAAGTTGTTGCTCCCCAAACTCAGAAATACCAACCCAAAGGACTCAAAAGCGAAAAATCGAAGGAATTTGTCATAAATCCTCCTTTTCCCTCTAGATTCTCTAAGTCCAAGAAAGAAGCAGAAGAGAAAGAAATTCTGGAGACATTTCGCAAGATCGAGGTAAATATTTCTTTACTTGATGCAATTAAACAAGTACCTCGATATGCTAAAGTTCTTAAAGAATTGTGCACCAATAAGATAAAGCTCAAAGGTAATGAAAAGGTAAGCATGGGGGAGATTGTTTCAGCTGTCCTCCAGAAAAAACTACCCCCCAAGTGCAAAGATCCAGATATGTTTACTATCCCTTGTAAACTCGATAATGTTAGGATTGAGAGAGCAATGTTAGATCTAGGAGCCTCAATAAATATCATGCCTCTTTCTATTTACTCATCTCTGAATGTTGGTCATTTGAAAGAAACATGAGTGATTATTCAACTTGCTGATAGATCTAATGTATATCCTGAGGGAGTTTTAGAGGATGTTTTGGTGCAAGTTAATGAATTGTTTTTTCCTGCAGATTTTTATGTGCTTGATATGCAAGAAGATGATTATTCTAAATCAACATCAATTTTGTTAGGAAGACCATTTTTGAAAACATCTAGAACAAAAATTGATGTAGATGATGGTACACTTACCATGGAATTTGATGGTGATATTATTAAATTCAATATTTATGATGCCATGAGATGTCCTAGTGATGTGTCCTCTATTTTTTTCATGGATGTTATTGACCCTTTAGCACAGGAAACTTTTGATCAAAATGAAGATGACAAGTTGAAAGATACACTCAACATGAATTTCACTTCTGAAGGATTGCAGGGAATCATGAAAAAATATATATGTTGGATCTTGATTTGCAAGATATAATCCAAGAACTAGAATCACTCAAACTCATGAGGGATGATGTATCTTATATTGAGTCACCTCTTTCTCACACCAAGCTTCTTCCTTCTCTTGTGCATACACCAAAATTGGAAATGAAGCCTTTGCCAAATCATCTGAAGCATGTAAATTTAGGAGAAGAGAAAATTATTCCAGTGATCATTCCTAACAAACTCTCTCGCTTAAAAGAAGAAAAGTTGATTCGAATGCTTAGAGAGTACAAGAAAGCTATTGGGTGGAGAAAAAAATTTCTCTATTGTTGAAACACAAAGTTTGGATACAGGTCAAATATTTAAGGTCAATGATCATCGTTTGAAACCTTTTTATGAAGGTTCTCAGGTGCATACTGTTGGTTAAACCATTTTGGAGTACCCAACTTAGGATGATTGAGAAGCTACAACGTCTAGCCAAAGACGTTAAAGAAAAACGCTCTTGGGAAACAATCCAATTTTTCTTTTCTCAATTTCTACTTTCGTTCTTTTTTATTTTTATTTTTATTTTTTCCTTAATTTTTCGGAGTGCAATTAATCTTGTTTTCCTCTTTAGGTCAGAAGATGAATTTTTGTAACCCGTGGGCACGCCTTACAAAAGAAGAATTATTCCTAAAGTCTCTCACTATCCAGAAGATGTTTTTGTATAAGACGTGTACACGTTTAAACTCAACACCACTTCTGGTTCAGGAAACAAGATTCAAATAAAATTTTTAAATATAAATGTGTCTTATCTT